ATACGGTAGCCGACTTCAACAAGATTGTTGAGGAAGAAGGGAAAGATGGTGAAAAACCAAAGGAGTAACTTAGTGCTTGTCAACATTTTCTGGTGGAGATGAAGATGGAAAAAGGGAGACATAAGGTATTTAACGTCCAAATGTCCAAGTTAGATACTAAAATAATTAACGAGAAACTTGAAGAAGTCTTCAACAAGCTCGATTCTGCCGCTACAATCAACATTGCTCTGGGGTTTGTTCTTCGAAATATTGAGACTGGAACATCAATATTTCTACGCCCATGAAAACAATACTCTGTTTGGAAAAACCCACTTACTTTGTACGAAAGCGGATTTGATAACAATACAAGGAAAAGTGGAAAAATTTGTGGAGCAATGTACCCAAGAACGCCAGAACACAAAGTGGCGATTCAAATTGACTACTAACGTTACAATTTTTGCTGTTTTGCTGAAAAACATCCCCATGGGATGTCCGGACTCTGTCTTACCCGAACCTTTACTACGACATACACAAGTGAATTGTCTTTCATCTAACAAAGACAAGGAATCCTACAGAGATCATTTGTGTCTTTTCCGTGCATTGGCTATGTACATGAATGGACATAATGATCTCGACTGTCACACTTCTAGATACTTTACAGAATTTGTATGAAAGTGTGGTTATGATCTTAAAATTTTCGTGGAGTTTCTGTAGAAGACTTACGTGTTGTCGAGGAAATTGTTCAAAGTAACATCTTTATAAGCGATTTCGATATCCAAGAAGGAGGATATCTAGGAGAAATAACTCAACGAAATGTTGAAAGATTTGACAAAACAGTCAAATTACTGAGATTTAACAATCATATCATTCATCCAAATGATATTGATTCTTTCTTCAAGTGTTTCCGGTGTCCTAGTTGCGACACTTTCTTCAAAAGATCTTAGTTTTTCAACAAACATCTTCTTAGATGCAAGGACCGAGTGAAACATATTTACCCAAAAAACGTCAAAAAGCTTCGCGAAACCTTGTTTGAAAAGCTGGAAGGATTCAATCTTCCAGTTTCTGAAGATAACAAACTTTTTAAAATTCGACCAATTTTCGGTTTTAAGTCGATTTGTGTTCCTACAGAGGAACTAAAAGAGACGCAGACTACTACCTGGATTGGAAAACATGTTCTAATTTCAGTCTCTATATCATCGAATCTGATTGATGAACCCATCTTTTTGTACAACAAAGATCCACAGAACTTCATTATTGATTTTGTAAGCAAGCTCGAGCTGTTGGTTTAGAAAAGTAAGCTGAAGATGAGATCAAAATTTTAAGATATTGAAGTAGCTGTCAATGAAAGAATGAAAAAGGATCTTTGATCAGCTGAACGAACGTGGTAAAAATTATTCAAGTAAAAAATTTGAGTACGAAGACGAATGCATTGAAGATTTGGAAGAAGCAGATATGTCAACACAATTCTTGCGAATTCAGAAAAATCAACTCATTGATTTGAAACAACATCTAGAGAGATTTGTAAATACTTTACTTCTTTACTTATTTTTGGATTTAACAGCGGTAGATATGAATTAAATGTGATCAAGTTCTACCTAATCCCTTATTGATTCGCGATAAAGAACAAGAAACATCAGTCATCAAAAAAGCAAATGACTTCTTATCTTTCAAGTTTGGAGATGTTCAATTTCTCGACATAATGAAGTTTTTGGGAGGAACAACTACTCTGGACTCGTTTCTCAAAGCCTATAAAGCTAGCGAAACGAAAGGTTTCTCTCCCTATGAGTGGTTTGATAACCCAGACAAACTTGACTTTCCTGAATTGACACCGAAAGAAGCCTTTTTCAGTAAAATTAGAAACAACAATCCTCTAGACAAAGACTTCATTGATTATGAGAAGATTAGAAAAAGCGGATTTGACGAACAACAGAGGCTGAAAAAGCTTCAAATCAAGACTGCTCCTCCATCTGGTTTGGATAATTACAATTCCCTACAAGAGACTTGGAGGAAAAATGGAATGACAGTGTTCAAAGACTTTTTGAAGTGATACAACAACAAGGATGTAATTCCAACCCTGTGGAGGCAATGCAAAAATGATTCAGTTTTATTATAACATGGGGATAGAGATACTGAAACTTGGATGCACACTTCCAAATCTAGCAAACATATGTCTACACAAATCTACAAATTATAAGTTTTATCCATTTTGCGAAAGTGATAAAGACTTGTGTGAAAAAAATAGAGAAAACATGACTGGTGGAGCTTCCATTGTTTTCACTCGGAAAGCTGTAGTTGATGAAACATACATCAGAAATTCATCGAATGTTTGTAAATCAATCGTTCGAATTGATGCAAGCCAGCTTTACCCTTTCTCAATGTGTCACGATATGCCAACAGGACTGTACACGATATGGGAGTTTGACACTGAAATGCAGAAATTCAAGGCTGAACATAATCGAATTCGAAACTTTGAGAAATTGGTCATATCTTTCTATCAAAAATCAAGACCAGAATCTAAAATTGAGAGCTTTTTTACATCTGGAGAACAGAAAAAAATCGACTGTTTTAATGTTGATAGTTACTGCAATCACTGTAAAACAGTATTCGAAGCAATGGGATGTTACTACCAATTCTGTTCCTGTCAAGAAGCTCGTCCCTTTTAACAGAACAGGATATTGAGCGAGGAAACAAGAAGAGAGAGATGGATGATATGCGACGAGAATACATTCAAGAGAAAGAATGTGGGAGTGTGACTGGTAGAAAAGTTTCAAAACCAATAAGAAGATCAAAATGACGTCAGAACCTTTTTCCCTATAAAAGACCTCAATCTACAGACTCCCCTCTAGCAAAAATAAAAGATGAATCTCTTTTTCGCTACGTTCAGTGCGACTTAGTTGTTCCAGATGAGCTAAAGTCAAAATTTGCCAATTTTCCTCCAGTTTTCAAAAACACTGAGGTTGGAAGAAACGATATTGGAGACTACATGAAAAACTATGCAATCGAGAACGAAATGTTAAAGCAACCTCAGAGAAAGCTGATATCTAGTTTCAAGCTAGAAATTGGAACAGTTATAACTCCTCTGTTCAACTTTTATATGGAACTTGGATTGCAGTGCACCAAAATTTACCGTTTTGTTCAATATTCTCCTCGGAAATGCTTCGTTCAGTCAGTGGTTGATGCTAGAAGAGAAGGAGATGAAAACCCTTTGTGAGGAGTTGCAGCAGAAACAATGAAACTTTTGGGTAATTCTTCGTATGGATATCAGATCATCGATGGATCCAGGCATACAATCACAAAATATCTGAACGATGAAAAAACTCACAAGGCAATCAAAAAACCCTTGTTCAAAAGATTGAATACAGTTGAAAAAGACTTGTATGAGATGGAGTTGTTGAAATCAACCATTGAACATAGAGAACCCATCATCGTTGGATTTTTCATACTACAGTATGCGAAACTGAGAATGTTGGAACTCTTTTATAACTTCTTCGACAAATTCTGTGATGTAAGCAAATTTGAAGAGTTAGAGATGGACACGGACTCGCTCTACTTAGCTCTTGCTGAAGAAAATTTATACGACTGCATCAAACCAGATAAGAGAGCTGCTTGGGACAAAATGAGGGAAATTGACTGCAGAGACTCTTTCAAGGCGGATGCAAAATCGAGTGTATTTCCTCGAACGTGTTGCAGTACGCATAAAAAGTATGATAAGCGGGAGCCGGGAATTTTTAAAGAAGAACTTAGATGTACAGAAATGCTATGTTTGTGTAGCAAGACATATTGCGGCTATGACAACAAATCAAATCAGTTAAAATTTAGCAGTAAAGGACTAAACAAGCAAGTTTTCAAAGATTCTGGAGATAGAGCCATGTCAAAGTACAGGAGAGTGCTCGATGAAGCAATCAATTTAACATCTGCAAATAGATGATTCAGAACTTCAAATCATATGGTGGCAACATATGAACAGACAAAGAAAGGACTAAGCTATTTTTATCCAAAAAGACAAGTACGAGATGATGGAATTCATACAAAACCACTGAACTCATAAGAACTGATCTGGTCTAGTAAATTTATTCATGATGTCGTATTTAGCGGTAAACTTGTTAAATGCAGTGATTTATATACTTTTTTGTAAATTAAGTTTTTTTCTCTCAAAAGTTTGATTTTTTCGAAGTCTCTGTAGGTTTCAGCATTGTTTCACATTGTTTGAAGTTTTTTTCTCTCAAAAGTTTGATTTTTTCGAAGTCTCTGTAGGTTTCAGCATTGTTTCACATTGTTTGATAGATAGAAAGTAAGATTATCTATTAAATTAGGTCAAATAATAGCTAACCTTATCGTGTTTTGAAGTTTTTTGAAAATTTTTTCAATTTTTTTTTGGTAAAAACTCCAAGTTTTTGCACAAAAACTCTTGCCATTGACTTACCATGCACCAAAAAACTAAAAATATAACCTTATTTCTACAATCTTCAAATAATTAACAATTAATTATTCCTAATTAGATAACGCGCGCCGAGATTTTTGTGAAAAAAACTAAACATTTCCACACAAAAATCAAAAAAAAAACTTTTTCTTACCATTATCTCACCATCACGCTGAAACCTACCATTGGTATTCCCTATCTTAATACATTGTAGACTCTATACCCAATGATAATACATAGCATGGAGGACCGGAAATCTATAACGTATCTTAAAACATGGGCTCCTCCATGCACCCCCCCCCCGCCCACTTAATCTCCAACATCTACTACTCTTAGATATGGGGAGATGATCTTCGACCTGTCAAAAAGAATCAGGCCACTATTTTTGACCAGGAAAGTTTTTTCAACTAATTATTCATGGTTCTGTGTTCATAGTTATCAGTGAACTATTAAGCATTATCGATTGATCATCGCGACACAAAATTTTTAATATCTGGAAGTTGTGTGATAAGAAGTTTTGATCAGCCCGGGCCCCTAGATGTGTTTCTCTATGATTTAACTTTGTTCACATAACTTTTGAAATGGCAAGAATTTTACTCACACTTGTGAAGCTCGAAGAATCCGATTAAAGTCACGATTGTTACTCACACTTGTGAAGCTCGAAGAATCCGGTTAAAGTCACGATTGTTACTCACGCTTGTGAAGCTGAAGTCCACTTAAAATCGAGGCTGTGGCTAGTTTGGCTCAAGGCGAGAGTTAAAAAAACAAAGAATAGGAAAATATAAAACATAATGTCTTCAAACAAAAATAAAAATGAAGGTGACTAAGAACGAAATAGCAAACAGTTCACTAAACTTCCATCTATTTAATTCAATTATTGCTGTTTACAATGAAACTTTTCAGTGAATTTTATAAGTGTTTCTGTTGAAATACACTTTAAGCTGAATTTCATTTTAGAAAGCGTTTTTGGTAAATAAATAAAATTGTAGCGAAATTTCTGATCATGAATATCGCTGGTGTTATACCCTCAGCTGTTGGGTGAGGTATACACTGTGTAATCTATGTAGTCAAAGTCTATGCTAACTGAGAATAAGAATACGAAGAGATAGAGAACAACTTTAATTCAGTTTAGAAAGTTAAGTCTGATTCGAATCTGACCTCGAAATCATGAGAGAGACAGAGACTCATAAATAACTATTGAATATGGTGTTAGGTTTAATAGGTACTTAATTTATATCAGACTTCTATATAGTTCAGTTTACATAAGTATATATGGTTAGCACTCAGGATGGACGTATTGTTTTAGGTAGACATAGTTCTAGTATATCCGAATGGATATCAGTTCATATCGGTACCTACTGTATCCGTATGGATAACAGCTGGGAAGCAAGTTAATTGGGGAAAGGAAGGAAAAGCGCGGGGTTTTCAAATGTTATAAAGTGGAAAAAGGTCTGAAATAGTTCTACAGGGGGCTCTAGATTGTGAATGAGTACTGTTTTTAAGGATAACTTCAGATTTTTTGAGAGATTGTAAATAAGTTACCCAAAATATAAGCTCTTATACGTCAAACCTCAAGTTTGTCGAGTTTTAGCTCAAAAATTGATTTGTTGTTGTTTTCTAAGCATTTTATCAAATCACTTTACCACGTCTTTTTTGTACATAAAATAAAACGCACGTGAAAAAATATATAATTTGCTTTTTTAAGCAATACAAAACTTACTGCAATTACTAAGATAGAAAATCAGCAAAATTAGATAGTACAAAACGTTTTGATTTTGAAAATTGATTTTTTGTAAACAGTTTCACAAACAACTTCCGCAAAAACTGAGGCTTATGTGAGGTGGGGGCCCGAGTTGATCAAAACTTCTACAAAACTTCCCGGGATGGTTATACAATTTCGTACAATTCCATACGTACATGAAATTGTATGAAAACTCTATGACAAGCATTTTTCCATATATGAAAACTCTATGATGGGTGTTTTTCCATAAACCACAAAAATGATTTTTTGTTTCTAAATTGAATATTTGAAAAAATTTGGTTGTGTTTGTAACCAAACACAAGTAACAACGACTTTTGTTTACTAAAAGCACCAAAATTTGGACGGTCTGGCATTTACAATGCATAGAAAACGACCTGAATTGTCTTCGAGCTGTCTTTCACATATGATATAACAAAATTAACACTTTTAAAATTTGGCGAAAATTTTCAGCAACGATTATTTTAAAAATTTGAATTTTTAATTTATCAGACATTGGTCAAGGCATACATAAACACGCCACACAACAGAAATAGCAATTTTCAGCATTTTTGAAAAAAATATAAAGCCAAAAGGAAAAAAATCCCAACATTAGTATATCCAGGGCTACTTTATGCACACAGAAAATTAAATTTTTGCATGCAAAAATATTTTTGGAAAATAAATGTTTGCTTGCGCACAAAAATCGATTTGGGGTTTAAAAAAAAGAAAAAATCATCGGGCAAATTCAAAATTGCTTGAAAAAATTTTTGTGTCACCATAAAAAAATGCTAGTCATAAAATTTCCAAATATGGGAATTGTATGATAAGCATTTTTTTTGAAAAATGAGAACCTCTGATTTTTATCTCCAGATTGTTTTATCAGAATCAAAAGCCGCAGAAATTGGTTTATATCTTTTTTCACTCATTTTTCGAAGTTGTTTGAAAATTGTATGAGAAGCATTTTCCCACACACTTGGTGTTTGGAATTGTATGATAAACATTTTCGTTGTATGGAGGTCAACCCGGGGGAAAAGGAGAAAGAGCCTCTGCTTTCCCTAGATACTTCAGTAATTGAATTTTGGAATTCTTAAAAATATGAAAAAAATGAACGCGTCTTGGTTGAACTGACTGACGTTCTTTTTTTGTCGGCTTAATCATCCAACTCAGTATCAGCCAATAAATATGAGCAGATCAGAAGTTTTGTTTCAATGACTGTAATAATATACGTACAAAAGGAATTTTACTTTTTTTGGCGCAATGCATCATATTTTGATTTATTTGGAATAAGATAAAATTTGGGAAAAAGTTTAGAAGAAAACTGTTAATTAGAATTTTTAAGAGCTCAGATCATCTAAGCTCTTAATTTTTTTGGCTGAAATTCACAAGAGTCACACAAAACTATTTGGCAACCATTTCAGCAAAATTGAAATAGACATCTGCTGACAGACTATTTCACCTACTCCCGCGAACCCATTTTAAGTGCAGTCAGTTGATCCATCAAACTTTGAAACTTCGGCCGGTCAAAGCCTCTGAAGTGATCATAGAGAACCATCCAAGCCTTTGAGTCATCGCCTTTATGGCCTTAAAAGCAAAATAGGTCTACTGTCAAATAACTGCACAAGCTCACACCACACTGATTGCTTTTATTATTTGAAACAGCCCCCACATCTTGAGTAGCTCTTTGGTGAAACTTCTCTGACGTGTTACTTCTAGTCAATGCAGGTGCAATGGTTGATTTATGCGTTTCTCCTGCAACCACAATTTTGCACTTGCAATTAGCAAGCGTTTTCAAATCGGAATGTAAACTTTTTTGGGTTAACAACTGGTTTTTTAAAGTCAGTCGAATTACTATGCTCTTCTCAAAAACTAAACTTTCAAATCTGAGATTTTTAGTTTCAATGAATATAACGGATTTGAAAAGCTCCCCTGCATAAACGGCTACGCAGGCTAAACGGATTTTAACATGTAATTATGGCCCTCGGAAAAGTCCAATTTTTTCTATTTTTTACTGTTTTTGAATCTTATTCAAAATTTCTCGAAAACTAATCTTTTAAACCTGAGACATCGGGTAGTGGTAAGTTCCCCTACATTACCCCGGCTACTTAGAATTTTTTTACACACAAAATTACCCTCTTCGGTTCGGAAAAATCAGTTTTTTTCTTCCATTTTTTGAGCACTTTTATTCAAAATTATATGAATTTCGGAAAAGAAATCAAAATGTTGATTTTTTGATTGTGTAAAAACGATTTCTTGTAAAAACTACCTTACCCAATACGAAATGAAAACGTCAATCGAAAGAAGCGATTGCTCAAAATTTTTTTGTAAAAGAGGCATTTTTTAACTTGTTTTGCAGGAGAAAGCTTATGTTTTTGCGAAAAACCCAAAATCTCAAAATTTTTATCTCTTTTTATTTATTTTAGCAGAGAAACAACTACGGTTTTGGTCAAAATCTAATTTTTAAAATCACACTTTTCGTGCGGCATCAGTATAATGGTTTTTAGAAACCATGTACTTCCAGGTTCATTTAGTTTTTACCGACATTCCTATTTATAAAATAACTTTTATTCTGTTGCATGGCAAGTGGTGCAAGCTGTATACGTGACTCAAACTTTTCTCCTGTTAGCTCTTTTTATAACTTAACAAGATGTAAAAAAAAAGTTTCAAACGCGCAAAATTATCTTCTTTTCCCAAAAAGTGAGATTCATCAATCATCTTTACGGATCTCGTACGGCAAGTCACAAACGTACTTATTGCAACACTTCAAATTGTTGGCACTATTGTTCACAAATGTAAGCAATTTAATCAGTTAATCAACTGGTGATTATTGGTGGGGGGGGGGTCTAATCTCGCAAACTGTCTTTTTAATATTATATTTTTTCTTCGCTAAAATCAGATGCAGTTGATTTTTTAAACCTAGGAAGTCAGCAAAAATAGGGGGTGATACAAATAAAATGATACAAATTCAATACGCAAAAATTGAAATCAAGAATTTGTCCTCAAACAATGATGACACTGTCCATTGTCCATTTGTTTAAGTTTTGCGTTCCTTTTTTTAATTTCAGTTTTTCGGACTGAATTTTACGTGCTACTTTATTTACTTCAAGTCAGCCAATTTCACTCACAAAACTTTCTAAGAACCCACTCTCTCTCAACAAACCAAAATTGTTTTCGCAATTTCAGTCCATTTTTCTCCTCTTAATGTTCTATTCGTGTACTCTATTGAGTCCAGCTGTTTCCTAAGATCTACATACAATTGTTTTGTCTATTTTTCTGAGGTTAGGTAATGTTGCCTCGCCCTCAAGCAACGAGCACGGATCAAGGTGGGCCTCGAACATCCGACCTATCGATTGAGACGCAGAGATGTACCCACTTCATCGCTGCTCTTCTAAAAGGAGAACTACGAAGTACGCCAATGGCATCCAAGTCTCTCAGATGACATCAGAAATTGACATTGATAACTTCAAAGAAGCTATTCAAAGAGTCAGTTTTTATCAGAAGAAAAAACCACAGCAAGCAGAAATACTCCATCACTTTCTTCAAAAGTCGGAACATACAGCAATATAGATAAACAGCAAACAGTTATCATGTTGAAAATATGATTTGTGTCAGATGACAGCTTTGTATGCTTTCGAACAGAGTGATTTTCTAAGATATCCAAACTAAAACCAAAAACCACAAATATAGCCAAAAAACTCTGCGCGGCACGCAAACATATTTTAAAAACGTCAAAAACGACTTTTTTAAGAATTTTTGAAAATTTTGGAAAAAAGTTAGTATATGTTGGGAAAAATTTAGTAACCAGATTGTTACACCCCCTTCTTCCTCCTCCTTGACACGCTACTGCTCCCCAACTATGACGAAGTATTTCATATGACTTTTCTTTCCTTCCTTCCGAAAGTTTCAATCGACTTTCCTATCTTTCATCTCTGCTCATATAACCATCAGTGCGAGAAATAACAAACTTCAAAGCGACTCTAAGAGGTTAAATGGTCTCTACTTGGGAAGAAGTTCAAATTTATAACTGTTTAAATTAGTTATAACTCTAAACTAGCTCCAAATTTTTCTCTAGTCCAGTTATGACCTGTGGGTAAAACATTCAACACCTGATGCCAAATTACAAAATACAACCCCAAAATTGCTGTTCAAAGCGCTCTAAATTGCCCAACGTAACCTTTTTTTGTTGGCATAATGTTGTTCCCATGCTTCAATTGATTTTCTTGGTCTCTGATATAGCAGGGCTTTTATTTATTCTTCGTAATTTTGTTTACCTGGCAAGAAAAACAACACATGGGACCGCCAATTTGCGGGTTAAAGACGCAGAAATATTGATCGTTTTTTGGAAAGAAAGCGAAAGATAATATTCTCCTCATTTACCAGAGCAGATTGAAAATTTATTTTGACCCAGACAATGGCTCAATAATTTAAGATTGTTCAAAGCGAATATCAAACGTGTTGTATGGGTAAGAGATTTGCTGATCCGGTAAGTTTAAATCCTTTTTAAATATCTAGGCCTCGTTTCTGCTACAATTTTTTTCCAATTACATCTGTGAGGTTTTTGGATATCAACAAAATTAAAAATTGTGAAGCTTCAGCTGAAACGAACGTTTTTTCCGACTTTCAAAGAAAGTTACGGAGAACTTGTGCTCGGGGTGGTTCTTCTTTCTCCACATGTGGAGAAAAAAGAACCACCCCGAGCACAACTTTTAACTGCTCTCAACGAGCAATTATGGATTTTAATCGATTTAAATGGATTTCCGAGACCAAAATAATCCATTTTAATCCATTACAGATGTAAAAATCAGACCACGAAATTGATTATCGCCAATATGATTGAGTATTTTTTAATACTCAAAGCTTTTAAAAGAAGCATTTTAATCAATAATAATCTATTCAGTTCAGTCAACGTGAGGGGACGAGATAAAAT